CTATTAATGCATCTCATTTGCAGCAGGTCATCACAGCAAAAGGGTGCTCTACCAGGTACTAAAGATTATTGCCATGGGCTGAATAATTTTGAGATGGGAAAAGTCATTATAAGTTGCATTTTCAGTTGAATTTGGGAAACAACTTGAATCATTCATTGTTGCACTATTTAAAATGCTTTTGTTTGATGTGTACATAGTAAGTAGCTGAAGTTTGTAAATGTTGACAATAAACCTGATTTTTCATTTTGTGTGTGTATATATATATATATATATATATTTCCATTCTGGTCACCATAACAACTTCACCTAAATGAAAATGCTATGATGCCAGGAAGCCCCTGGGTGCTCGCTTTCCTTTAAGGGGTTAAATCGATCTCAAATGGTTTAACCCCAAAGGCTTCCTCCAGCTCCAGGTCGCTCAGTGGTATTTGGCTTCTGAAACAGAGTGTCAGGAAGTGCAGATTGATGTCAGGCATGGGTGCTGCTGATTGGCTAGAGTGGACAGTTGACGCTCTTAGTCAATCGCTAGTTCCCGGTTCATAAAATATTTTTACTTTTTTATGAATGGGGAGCTACTTATTGGCTTAGAATGCCAGCTGACCACTCTAGCCTATCAGCAACACCCCTACCCAACGGCACTCTGTGCTTCCTGACACTCAGTAAATAAAAGTGAACACATTAATACTGATATTTTTTTACCTTTGGAGATGAGAAGGTCCAGCGTTTCCCTGCCTGGCCCAGGTACCAAAGCCTTATGATGTGGTGTCCAGAATAAAGTGGAGGTTCACTTCATTTGTCCTTCCTGCTCCAATCTCCTTTTCCTCTCCTTCATTTGACAGTCTTTTTTTTTTTTCTTCTGACACTGTTTTCTATCCTTGGTCCCTTCTGCTCTTTTACCTTTCTGCTACTTTCTGCTTATTTTGCGCCCGTCTGCTCCTTTCTCATTCTGATCCCTTTCTGCTCCCTGCAGACCCTGTCTGCTCCCTTTTCTACTTTACCTTTGTGCTCCTTGCAGTCCCTATCTCCTACTTTACCTTTGTGCTCCTTCTGATTCTTTCTGCTCCTTTACCTTTGTGCTCCTTGCTGTCCCTTTCTGCTCCTTGCAGGCCCTTCCTGCTCCTTGCAGGCCCTTCCTGCTCATTCTCCTACTTTACCTTTGTGCTCCTTCTGCCCCTTCCAGCTCATTTCTGACCCTTTCTGCTCCTTCTACTTTACCTTTGTGCTGCTTTACCTTCCAGCTCCTTGCTGACCCTTCCTGTTCATTTCTGTTCCTTTGTGCTCCTTCTCCTACTTTACCTTTGCTCCTTGCTGTCCTTTCCAGCTCCTTGCTGCCCCTTTCTGCTCCTCGATGTCCCTTCCTGCTCACCTCTGTTCCTTCTCCTTTTCTTACCTTCCTGCTCTTTGCTGACTCTTCATGTAGGGTGTCTCCCCCATCCCTCACTTCCATAGGCGTGCGCACGGGATGTGTCGGGTGTGCCTGGGCACACCCTATTCCCTGCGGTACGCCAATGGATTGAGACCGGCAGGGGAGATCTCTGGATCTCCCCGGTCGGCTCATGCAGAGCCGACGCTATCCGAGCGGTGGCTCTGGTCTAAGCCTCCATGGGCCGTTGGGGAGATCAAAGTTCTACCTCACTGGTCCACAGCAGCATGGAGGGAGGCAGCAGAGAACCCGAGCTAGAGTTCACTCTCCACTGAACCACCAGGGAAGGCAGCAGGACTGGGATATTAACTAATCTGCCCCCACCTCCACCCAAACATACAGCGCACACACAGCCCACAAACAGCACACACACACACACAGCACCTACACACATACATTACCCTCACACACACAGCACCCACACACATACAACACCCACACACACCCAGCACACTAACAGCACACTCTCATACAAACAGCACCCTGACAAACACACAACACCCGCACACAAACAGCACACTAACAGGAACCGAACAAACACGCACACACAAACACCCTCTCACACACACACACAGCACACTACCAGTTCCCTCACAAACAGCACCCTCACACACAGCACACTAACAGCACCCTCACACACACACACAGCAGTGTGTGTGTGTATGTGTGTGTATATATATATACACACACACACACACATTCATATACACATGGCGTATGTTTGTGCTTTAGGGTGCACACCCTAATGCAATAGGCTGCGCACGCCTATGCTCACTTCCCAAATCTATAGGCTGCCCCCCCCAAAAAAAATTTATAGGCTATCTCCTCCCCCTATCCCCCACTCCCCTGATCTGTAGGCTGTCTCTGGCTGCATGTGTTGTTCCCCTGCGGTTTCAATCAGCAGAGAGAAGTGGACGCCCATGATAATAAGCATTATTTTGCCAATGAAATGATTTGAAACTATAGTTACAATGCTCTAGATACTAAACTCAAAATAATATGGAAACTATTTTCACTTGAATAGTTTAAAGGATGATTTATACAGAATTATTTTAGCAATTCGCAAATAATATCCATATA